ATGACGGGGAGGTTGCCCAACAGATGGGTGCTCGGTGATGGGGTTGTGTGCAGAACCATCGAGATGGTCCGTGAGGGAAGCCTGGCCAAACATGGGGTTATAGTTGGGGGTGGACACGTTGGTGTTTGTGTCGGCGGTGTCAGGCGCTCCGTTGATCGATAGATTGCCCATGGATTCCGTAACTTGAGCGGGAGCGATCTGAGAAGCAGAGGATTCGGTGTTGATAGACATTCTATGTGAGTGTTTGCACAGGACGAGTAACACGAGCCCAATATATAGATAGACGACCAAGCACATGGGCGCCTGTTCAACATCATGACATCGTGTCATCGAACTCTCAAAATCTGACGTCAGTGCCATTGATCCAACGAAAATTTGAGGATCATTGTTATCTATTGTGCCCAGGCCTCTAGAAAGTTCTGAAATATTCTTTGCCCCCTTTGCTTCGAGGTACTGTTGAAGCTCAATTAAATGGCTTACTTGACTGTATGGTAGCCAAGTTTTGTCTCCGGATTTCCACAGGACTTCAAAAATCGCATTTTGACCTTCATTTTTATGAGATATAATTTTTTCTACTGCCCATTCGCCCTCCAAGTCTTCGAGATCGAAGACTTGAGTGTCCAGACGACCCGGAAACAACCGGTCATCATTCGGAATGTGGATTCTAAGTAACGAGGAATGGAAGACATCGTGGACCCCTCGCTTTCTGAGACTAGGCGGAAGTTTAATCCGAAAAGAATTATTTCCGAAATCCTCAGTAATGAGGTATGGCCCGATAAACCGAGGAGCGAGTTTCCGACTCAAGCCCTTGGGTAGGTTAATATTTTTCGTTGAAATGTAGACATAATCATTTAATTTGAACGGAGTGACGATCCGCTTTCTATTAGCATTACGAACTGATTTCACGCGAGCCGCTATTATTGAATCATGTGCTCGCATTATGGCGGTCTTCATGCGCTTTGCAAACGTTCTTACACCGGGGAATTCGGATGGCTTGTTTGAGTCCCAAATGAACGAACGTGGCATTCTTCCCATGTTAAGGAAAAATGGTGCGAAGCCCGTACTCTCCGAGCGAGCCGAATTGATGGCAAATTCAATAGCAGGTAATTTCTGCACCCAGTCCTTCTGAGTTTGCCCGATACAATG